AAATTAAGAAAATACTAAATCATAGTTTTTTTGTCAATATTTGCGGGAGCCTGTACTTACCAAGCAATATTTGTAAACCTTTATACATTATCTTCCAGGTGATCGCCGCTACTGAACAAGTTTGTTTAATAGATGAGGTGGCATTGAAGTCGCTCGTTAAGTCAAGACATCACGCAATTAATCCTGGTGCGCTTTTTATACATTGAATCAAGATTATTTATATAATTTGGTAATATTGTTTGATATAAATGGAGGAACGTTGCGATGAAGTGCAGTATTGCACAAAAATATCGTATATCTTCCAAAACAAATTTTCGCGCAATAAATGTTTTATCCTAAAAGCCCCGTACTGCACTTTATTTGAACTATATAAGGATGGTTTCCCTGCCTTCCGTAAGTAATTATGAAAGATCACCTGGCTTGCATACAGCAATTCCATTTTTTCGTTCACTCTTTCAAACAAAAAAGTTACTTCGAATGAATGAACGGGAAAAGCAGCTGAATAACAAAATACTCTAAATTGAAAAGTTGCAGAAGAAAAACTATCTAGTGTCAATCGAATTAAAAAATGTGTTATATTTATCATGTAATAAATGCAATTTGTCACTGAATATACTACATAAAATGAAAGGTTTTCACTTGTGTCACCGTTGCAACGGGCGTGTAATATCTTCGTTCGGTTGTTCTTAATGCCACCTTATTTTAGTATCTACAAGAATATATATTGAATTAGGCAGCATTGCCTTGGTATACATAATAAATATGATTAATAGGACAGAAGGCATCTCTGAAGAGGAGGACTTCAGAGAGGATCGGGAGCTCAGCGTCAAAAATACAAAAAATAAGTCACTTCGTTGTCAAAACTTTCACAGTGACAGCGCACATTTGACTAATTGCTAGATAATAACGCTTTCCAATGATAAGTGCTTTAGAAAAAAACAGTTTGTTTGGTATACTGAATTATGAACTTTTTGTCTAGATAGAAGGTAACATTTGCTTCGTGCTTTAACTCTGAATATTCATTTGCCTTTTTTAGTTTTGTGACATATGTTTGAAATAAATAACTTCTCGATTAGAACTAATGAGTAACACTTATTTTCTGATACCAACTTTCACCATTGCATATTTACAAAGGTTTCCCAAAATTTCAGTGGAAGTGACAAGAGGATTCGGGACTTTTTTCATTTTTATTGATGGTGAGTTTCTGCACAAAAAGACAAGACAATTTTGCAATACGAGATACAAACGTTAACGTGGTATTCAAACAATAAGATGCGGGCAGATAACATACGGAAGAATTCAAGCTAAATGAGCTCACAGAATCATCGTAGGAACTGGGGTGAATAACGCATAACAAATAAACGAAGCAAATAGCGAATTCCACAGTTGCGCACGGTCGTGGGTCTATGAATGTTCTATCTACTGAATGATATTGGCTGCTGACCACACCTCACAGCATTACGTAGTTGCGTACGGTCGTGGGTCTATGAACNGTTGCGTACTGTCGTGCGTCTATAAACGTTCTATCTACTGAATGATATTGGTTCCTGACTACGCCTCACAGCATTACGTAGTTGCGTACTGTCGTGCGTCTATAAACGTTCTATCTATCGAATGACATTGGCTCCTGACCACACCTCAGAGCATTACGGGATGGAAACAGTAGGGCACTAGAAGCATCAGCGATATTGTTTGCTTTTACAGAAACTGATTTAAATACAAGTGAAAGACGAATATTGTGTATTCAAAATCCTTCGTAACGAATATACGCAACAGGTGCATTTTTGTTTATACTTCGATTATGATGAGTTCACAGTTTATTTTAATGTTCCAACACGATGGTCAAGCATGTACATTATATTGTACATTTTACAAATATTGACTAGAACGTCTTAAAGATGAACAATAAGTTAACGTCGTGAAGGGTGAAGAATAAGTTAACGTCGTGAAGGTGAACAATATATAAGTTAACGTGGTGAAAGTGAACAATAGGTTAACGTCGTGAAGGTGAACAATAAGTAGTAGTAGTATGATGGTTTACTAGCGCTTCAGCTATATAGAGCTATGTCGCGCCGGAGGTCATATAATATAACATCGCCAGCAAGGCAGAAAGTCTCAATTATTCAAAATCTCAAGTTAATCATCACCAACAAGAGGCGGTAGGTCTCAATTGTCCAGCCCGCTGAAGCTGGCTCGAAAGAAGCATGCAGCGTTAGCATCTCAAAAAGACTAAGTGACAAGGAGGGACATGTGAAAAGCAACAGAAACGATGACACTCGAACAAGAGGTCGCTTACACGGGACGTCGGCCGCCCGCACGATAGAGACAGAGAAGGGAAATGCAAGGAATCCTACCTACATAATAACTTAATAAATGGAATCCTACCTACATAATAACTTAATGTAAGGAATCCTACCTACAAAATAACTTAATGTAAGGAATCCTACCTACATAATAACTTAATGTAAGGAATCCTACCTACATAATAACTTAATGTAAGGAATCCTACCTACAAAATAACTTAATGTAAGGAATCCTACCTACATAATAACTTAATGTTAGGAATCCTACCTACATAATAACTTGATGTAAGGAATCCTACCTACATAATAACTTAATGTTAGGAATCCTACCTACATAATAACTTAACCCCACAACTGAGACCTACAGTCAGACACCGCGAGCTCAGCGGTGGGGCGCTCAGGAACAATCCCCCTAGGAGCGCGAAATCTCATAGGACTTCTGACGAGCACAGACGCGTCAGAAGTTCCCCCTGAGGGGAGGTGAACAATAAGTTAACGTCGAGAAGGTGAACAATGTAGTGATTGACCATCTTAAAGGTGAACAGTATTTGAGTAGAACGCCGTAAAGATGAACAACATTTTGCCTAAGACGTCAAAAAGTTGAACAATATAATGACTGAACGTCACGAAGATAAACGATATCGTTACTATAACGTCGCAGGTATGTAATATGTTGACATGAAAGTTAAACACCAAATAAAACATTCAATAACATAACTAATGGTGATACTGATTTATTTAATAGGCCCGGAAAATAAACGTTGTAGTGATCTTGCGCATAAATTAGATATACGAAACAGAAACCACACTCCTTGAAAAAAAACCGTAAAACGTTTTGACCGGTGTTCGAGTGGCGGGCCGGCGAGTGAAATAAAAAATCTAGCCGTCGTTTCATTTATCTTTTTTTTTTAATTCAACACGAGAAATTTGTACCCCGTTTATAAAAACGGCGAAACTGGTTTTTATGGTTTATCCAGCCACTAGAACGCGTGTCAAACCTTTTTTCAAAGTTATTTCAAAAACGGCATGGCCATGATAGCTGGACGGAGGTTCGGAGGATCTGGAGAGGCACCCGCCCTCGTGAAGACCAGCGCGAACAACACAGGTTCTCTATTTATCAATACAAAAAAAAATTAGAAGAGGTTTTCATCTTGGACGTATCAAGCAATGCACATAATTCGAGTCGATGGCTTTTATGACAACAAACAGATAATTCGCAGCACATCTCTAGGTTTCAGGCATGACAGATGACCTAGATCTCTAGGTTCCATGCGTGGTAGATGACCTAGATCTTTAGGTTCTATGCATGACAGATGACCTAGATCTCTAGGTTCCAGGCATGTGGTTCCATGCATGGCAGTTGGACTAGATCGCTAGGTGCCATGCATGGCAGATGACCTAGATCTCTAGGTTCCATGCATGGCAGTTGGACTAGATCTCTAGGTGCCATGCATGGCAGATGACTGGTAATTTGTAGGTGCAGTCGAAGTTGACCAACGCATAAGAAACATTTCCCTGACTGGATATTTGATAGCTGGTTAAAACGCAGTCCATGCCACTGCCGTAGCTGGGCTGGTTCGAGAGCCACTCGTACTGACCGTCAGGTCCGGGCCAGCGACCGTTCGATTCATAGCTCCAGTTCCCGTTGATGTAGTAAACACCGACCCAGAAGTTTCCTTGGGACGATGCTCCTAATGTTGATGAATGAAATGTTTGGAATAAATGAAATAAATATATAAATATATTGTCCTGATGTTGAAGAAAATAGCGTATAAATTTTGTAGGTAATGTACAGCAACCTCCGTCGTTGACTTTTGACCCATTAGAAGCTATTTTTGTATATTTTTTCGCCCATTGTATAAACTTCTGCCCAATGAAGCCTGTGTTCTAAATACTTAGACAATTAGATGTCCAGAATTTAAATTTCAAACATGGGTTTTATCGTCATTCGGTGCATCGATCGATTGTCAAAAATACTCTGAGATTTTGAAATAACAAAATTTAAAATATTTTTTATTGAATCGTGTTTATAATTTGTAGGCCGCCCTATCTCAAAATAAAAGCAATTACACGTTCATAATTAGGCAAACATGAAAGACTGCACTTTGATTCAACGCAACCGGAGATGAATGGGAAAAATGTTCCATAGTTGAGTTCAAAAACGTACAAGTTTTATAAACTACTTGTAATTGTTCACTATTAAATTTTTTTGAATATTTCTCTTATCTATGTTAGGTAAATCACACAAATTAGTGGAACATAAAATTGGGATTACTTTCGCATTAATATTTTTTTTTTGACATCCATGAGATCCTTCGTAGTTCGCTACAAGCTAAAAATGCGTTTGTTTGAGCTCTTGATAAAAACTTTTTGCCATTTTTTAAGGGAGTTCGATTATTTGGAAATTTGTACATTTTTATATGAATGTCATATTATTTTTAAACCCACCCTCATGCTTGAAACAATAACCATACATCTTCTCTGGTTATAATGGGGCTATAAAGCCAACATTTATTAAGCTGGGCGCGTAGTCTGATAAATCGGACAGTGCAATACACGTAGCCGCCTACGGGGTAACGGCCGATTCCTCGTCTGTGATTTTTGAATTTAGCTTAAAATTCCGTCAGTGATTGGCTGATGGAATTAAAAATAATAACTATTTGTGAATGTACGGCCCCTGAAGTGTTAATTTCTTACCGTAAGTCGCTGTAAGGTAGGCCATCAGGGCGAGGAACTTGTCATGTGTGGTTGGCGACGCCAGTTGCGCCCCAAGAGACTGGCAGTAAGCCCTCGCTTGGCAGAGCGTCAGCTTTGTCTGGTTGAAGTACATGCAGCCGAACGGGTGTTGCACGAAAGGCGGAGTGCAGCTTGTCAGCGGTGGTACATCTTGGAATGCAATACGAATTAATAATCAAATTGGAACAGAAACTAAAATCAGAGTTCAGTTAATCACTCAGACAACAAAAGGATAATATTGAATAAATAATGTCTCACAAATGAACACAATACGAACAGTGAGCGAACATAGCACTGATATAAAATTTTTCCAAGTATAACTGGATCAAGGTGACACACACAAGTGCACGCGCAAAATAACTGAACTTGCTGATGAAGAGATATAGTTTAGCTATCTTTCTTTTCAACCCGATCGATTACGAAACGCTCTCTCGCAAGTGGTTAGAGCGCACATGGAACACATTTTGTTCAAACCCTCCTGTGTGTTTGATTTTCTTTTCGGTTCTAGCGACGAATTGTAATTTATTATAAATTTTTATCCAGAAAATATAAGACCGTGTTCAGAGTTATTAAAATAATGACAAAAACATTGACAAAAACCTAAACATGTTTTTCTTGGCCGTGAGAGTGGGTGCGGTGTCACCAGGGAAGTGAGGAAAAAACAAGAGTTGGCATAGAGTTGCCACGTAGGAAAAAGAGGAATGAAAGGGATAGTAGGAGATGAAGAGGCGCAATGTGCATATTTAAGTTGGTTAGGTTTGTGTAGTTGGGTTTAGGTTAAGTGGAGAAGCGAGAGGATTTATGCCTATGCACAAAACATCTGGGAGGTATCGACTTCTAGTAAAAGGCTTCAGTTCCACATTTTCTTCTCATTGAAACCTACCATTAGCTAGGGTGACCATGCCACGCTTGGTGCACGTCAGGTTGAGGTTCGGGCAAATAGTGCCTGGTATCTTTTCTCCTTCGTGGAGAGTTTTGTTGTCGTGAAGGCAAACTGCGGAATTGCAAGAAACATTCCTGTTAGCTGCAGCTTCGTTCTCCATCCATTGCGCTCTGGCACGAATAAATTGTGTCAAGCAATGGTAATGTGAGACACTAAATCGTGAACCCGACTATGCATTTTAAAAGAATACATGTACTAAATTCCCTACGCTTTCATAATGTTATGAACCGAAAGCATTATATCCATACAAAGAAATTATTAGGTTTCTTCGTAAAATATGTACGTCCGAAAATCAGCGAGACGTACGCAACAGTAATAGTTTAATGTTTATTTTTGCTAGTGGCTATTTATATCGAATTACTGAGAAGAAAAAGATAATTTCAATTAAATATGCCACGTACGGCATTTTCAAATTGACACTTAGAAGTATAAATGTCAGAAAGACTAATATCGGTTGGTCCAGGAAGATATGTAATATCAATAGGTATGACAAAGGCAATTTGCTCTGGAGCCTACTTTCTTGAGAAAAACTTGCAAATTTTGGACACAATCAAGAGGACATAGTTGGTCATGTAGCTGAAAGGTGTCTGTAAGACTTGGTGAAAACGCGTTGCTTCTGACAATGCCGCAATGTGAACTCTGTTGCGAATCATAAGTTCTTGACAGCAAACCCTAGTAGAGTTATGCAAATATATTTAGTATAGTGTAGTATGTCATAATCTAAATTTCACTTGAAAACATAAAAATTTTCTTATGCATACCTTGGGAATAGTAGCAGCTGTAACCTGGGGTTTGCGCTCCTTCAACGTCAGGTAGGTAAACTTGTCCGAAAACACAGCCTTTTGGTCCGAAGCAGAAGAGGTTCGCCTTTCCGTCTTTAGTTGCTAAAATGCTACACAGAATCTCCGCTTTAACATCAACATCAGAGACGTTGTAGCGGCTCAAACTTGTGATATTTGCCGAGAAAGCTGCCCATTTTCGTGGGATGTTATCAGTTGATGCGCAGAAATCAAGAAGTAACATTAGGCTCACAGCCGCTACTGTGGTACTCACGGACATCTTCAGCATGATAGACTGAATTTAAGGTATCGTTGTTTATTAATTTGGCGCAAAACACGAATAATCTGCTGGTAGCTAAAAATAGTTATTAGCATCCCGTCCTATTTAATTCCGTGCAGTAAAAATATTATATTTGGATTTTAAACGGTTGTATTAACCTCTACATTATTTTGTTTTAATTTATTAGTGATATCTAGCAGTGCCATCTCAACATCACCTACCCTGTCAAAACTTACGCGCGGCTATCGTTCCGATTTCGTTTGCGACTCTCGGATTAGAGATGAATCAGATGCGAAATGGCCGCCTCTTCTATTTAGCCGCCAAATAGGAGCTATTTTGAGTAGTTTCGTGGGAAAAAATATAAGGGTCAAATGACACGAAATCAGAGGCTGGTCAGGCCACCATTGGCCTACCCTGCTCAGTGGATGGCATGAGTTTTTAGCACGAGCGTGCTTAGAAGTTCCCGCCATATGTGGGGGTCTACCTCCCGCACTCCCCATCCGGACAGAGCATTAGCCGTTGCAGCAATAGAAAGGCGCTAGTTTAGGACAAACCGTGAATCAGTACGTAGTGAAGAGTGCTCATTGCTTATCGAAAAGGTATTATAGTTTTGTCTCCTTTAGAGAGCTTTAAACAATTTAATGGTAAATACCATTGCACTTGTAGACATTGAACAGGATGAAAATGAATATTTTGAGTGCTTGTGGAAGTCCTTGATTTTGAATTGTTTGGAAATTACTGTTCTTCAAGCCCACAAAATAATGATGGCTAGTGGCTACAATAGAGATGTTCGACTTTGAGTATATGTCTGTTGGAGCGGCTAAAGATGTAGCTCTTGCAGATATGCTTTAAATTAAAATTTCTAAGCATCCCTACGGCCAATAGCTTAATTTATGAAGATTGCATAAGAACGTTTGTCGTCATTTCCGACCACTACTGAAGACTGGTACAGTGCAGTACAAGTCACAAGAACGTTCTCGCTGCCCCAGCTGTCGTGTCGGTGTGAACTATCGCGTACGCCGTACAAGAAGGCAGGGTGAACGTGTTTAAACGGGATCCCATTTGTGAGCATCTTATTTGATTTCACATTACTAATCTATCGTATATTCCGTTATAATTTTGGTTATCAATCCAGGAATTTAGAGTGCAGTTGATAATTTGAAAGCTTGAAAGAATTTAATTTTAGAGCTCGACTCTTCCAATGCGAAAAACTAGTCGACTCCTGTTGAGTGTGATCGGATGGCTGTTTACTGCATCAAGCTACTGCAGTAGGCTAACTTGACTTTGTTAAGATTGACACTCACTTTTCGATTGTGTTGTCTTCCTTAAATTATGACGTATTTGACTGGAAAATTTAAATTATGAAGGAAAATTTGTTAGTTTTTCCTACGAGTATTTTTTTAATAAGATATACTTGTATGGTGTATCTTTCACCATCAGGGCCATCACTTGTTTCAAAACACAGCAATTATACGATGCAAGTTCTTTTTTCGACAATAATAGAAGATTTCATGCGGAATGTGCTCTACATCTGTTGTTATTTGATCAGTTCGTTGCAATAGGTACTTCTCAAGTTCTCTTCGGCAGGCGACAATCACCATGACTACGCATTTGTGTGTTCAAGATTTTGGCAGCGGTAGAAATTTTCAACTTTGGGCATGTCGACACGAGCATGTTATTTAAGCTGCTCCTGTTCATATGCTTAAGGTTCTAATTTCTAAATCAACACGTCAACTGGATCAATTTGTGTTGTCGAAACTCGAAAGTTTATCATTGCCTACGATGCTACGTACCTAACCAACAGTCGACACCATTGCAATGGGCGGGCCAGCTGAACACGATGGCAAATGTTGCAGAGCCTATTCCAATTATTCGCAAGTAAGTTAGTTTCTTTTGTTCTGTTCTATCTACTCTATTTCGTTCTATCATCAGTTTTCATTGTGGAGTTACAGTTACAAGTATAAGGATGAATTCGGTTATTTCTGAATAACTACAAATTATACGAGGATAGATTCAGGAAATTTCCATCGAGCTCAGCAATATTGAAATAGTATTAGACGTTAGAAATGCTTCTATTCATCATTTTGCAGCAGTTACAAGTAGTATTATCTGATCCTGGTGAAATTTTTTGCTAGACAAATGGTTTCTTCAACAAAAGAACTATTCAGCTGTGGGCATATGTCTGCATGCGTGAGCTTATTGCTCAAGCAGAAGATAACTTATGAACTATCTCTTACAAGGAGCCCCTCTGTAAGCAACACATCTGAATTGAGGATTTCCATAACTATCGTATATTCTATTTATTTGATTGTCTCTCCAGGAATTTAGAGTATTCCGAGAGCTATCGTTGGTAGCGAACTGGTCGTCAAGAACGAAGATGCCTTAAGAAATAATATTCATGTTCCTCATTTCCATCCTCTGCCTAATGGACGAGGCTGTCTTCCAAACCGTTGGTATGGTAAATAGAGATTCTGATTAACTAAATATAAATAATAAGAATAATAAAAGTTATTTCAAGTAGTTCTATGTAAATGAGTATATATAACAAAACAACGACCTACGTTGGTCTCCGCTCAATATGAGTAGAATCCACATAGCTCTCATAGGAGCCCTAGACTCAAGGCAATTTCTCAGACACGAGCGCACATGAGGAAGCGGACCTCCGCATAGGCCACTCGGTCGGATGATATTAACATAGAACCAATACCTAGAATAATATATATGCCAAATAAAGCGCAAAACCTACCACAACCATAAAGCCTGTGTTTCTGAATAAAAGTATAAGAACAAGGAGAAGTTAAAAAGATAAAAGTACAAAATAAAGATACAGATAATATAAAAACGGCAGAGAGTAACCTAAGCCAAACACGACAGTATATACTCACGAAGGTTGCAACGCCTATGAAAGATCGTAAACATAAAATCCGGAAGGATCTCGCTTAAATTGATACGCACGAAATAAGCAAGCAATAAAAACTCGAATAAAATGAAGAAACAGTAACATGGAGAGAAAAAAAGACTCGGAACATTACACAAATTCCTAAGTCCGGGTGTAAATCAGTCTCCATTCTACCGAGCTATATAAAAAATCTGTCAAACCTGGAATTATCTACAGATGAGATCAAAGTCCCATTTATGAGATGAGATCTCACATCCCATTTAAGAGAAGCAATTGACGTAAATCTGAAGGCCTATGATGCCAGTGTTTTCCAGTATAAAAATAAAAAAGATCAATACGTTGGACTTCTTCGGAGAAATCTTGGAGCTGATACCTGAAATTAACTTCCTGGAATTTAATGGAACGTTCTATAAGGAGGAGATAGGATTAGCACAGGGTTCGAAATGCTCGCCCGAGATTGCTGATATATCCCTTCACTCATTGAAGAGAATTTTTGTAGACCAAATTCCCAAACTGATTATGTACCTATTGGAGATACAGAGATGAGATTTTTATTCTGAGCGAAGCAGACGAGAAGGACCTCAAAAGCTTTCTGGAGAACATCAACAAAATGCACGAGTCTCTGAAATTCACAAGTGAAATCAGCAGTCATGAGCTTAATTTTCTTGATCTCACAATATATAAAGGGGAAAACTTCCGTAAGAACGGAGTGTTGGACACCAAAACTTACTGCAAACCTACGGAAATTTTCCAGTATATTCAGGCCTCAAGCGCGCACCCCTCATTCTGTTTGAAAGGTTTTGTGAAGGGCGAAGTATTAAGGCATAAACGGAACTGCAACAATGTTCCTGATTTTATGAAAACTACACTTATTTTCTACAAATACCTAAGACAAAGAGGTTACAGCAAAGCGCTGGTTTTGGAACAACTGAAGGAGGCTCTGAGCAGAAAAAATAAATCAGAAAGGTCAAAACAACGCAACCTGTTCTTTAAGACAAAATATAACCCGCAAACATCAACAAATGACATGAGACGAGCTCTATGTAAACACTGGCATCAGATCGATGGAGATGAGGGTCTTCGATCACTTTTCCTGACACCGCCTATGATCTCCTGCAAACGACATAAGAACCTGCGTGAGTTCCTGGTGAGGTCGAAACTTGGAAAACCAATCACAAAAAACAAAGATCTAGATATCTTAGTTAATCTCCTTTGAGCATAAATAACAATAACTAAATGAAAAAGTATCTAAAAATCAAAAGGGCCTGATGAGTAAGGAAATGGCGCCATCGTCCTTGAAGATTTAAATACATATATAATAAGAAAAAAAGGAGTTGTTGTGATGTTACTCATGATACGAAACAAAACTACCATGCAAAAAAAAAAAACAGAAAATATCTGTGGGTCGTGGTATACAATGGAAATGCTTCTGAGTAACGCAAGAAAAGGTTAAATAAATAAAAAATGCACTGATATTAATAAAAAAACCGTTACGCCAATTTTGGCGTGGGAATATCTAAAAATAACATTCGGGGAGAAAGTCAGCCGGTCTCTAGGGGTCTCATGCCTTACAAACTTAATATTTCTCACAATAAATGTATTCCTATATTACTTCAGCAAATTGTTTTCTATTGGCAAACTGGTCAAGCAATAGGCCTATGATGTCCTGTTATGAATTTCTTACAGTGGACTATTTACACTTATATATGATGTTCAAACCATATTTAATTTTAAGGCATTTAATGTATTCAAATATATCATTAGACTGTGTGAACATAAATTTGATGATTTATTTATAGGAAAATTAAAAATGATACACTTTAGTACAACAGTTTGTGCAGTATGTTTGGAAAAAGTTAAAAAAGAAATATCCAAAATATTAATTTATTTATTAGACTCTTCCCCTTTTAGATTTTTCTTACATTTTTTGGTGGAATTACGACATTATGTGTGGATAATATCCCCACAAAAAGAAAATCTGTTTCAATTTTTCTAGGTCTATACACAGAATAACCGGACTAGAGTTGAGACTATTGGATTTCTATCCTTGTTTGTACGCGTTTCTCTTGCAGTGACACGATGTCTGCTTGACTGGTGAAGACTAAGCCTAACCATGCAGTTGAACTTGAGTGAAGTAGTATTTCCACACATGGATCATTGGATCCAGTTTTCCGAT